AGTAGCCAGTTAGTACCCCGGGACATCGGGCGATAGGCGCTTGTGCTATTAATTAACACTTTAGTATTTAATAAAGCAACCAGTAAGCGCCCCGGGTCATCGGGTGATAGGCGCTTGTGTTAATAATTTATACTTTATTATTCAATAGAGAGGCCAGTTAGTGCCCCGGGTCATTGGGTGATAGGCGCTTGTGCTATTAATTAATACTTTATTATTTAATAGAGAGGCCAGTTAGCACCCCGGGTCATTGGGTGATAGGCACTTGAGTTATTAATATTACAATTTTTAATTTCCGCGTGTCTTTGGCAATGCCCCTTCACTGCTGTGCTGTCTGCTCAACGGAACATTCTCCCTAGATTGTATAGCTACATATACGATCTAGGGAAAAAGTTCTGATATTGAATCAACCTTACCCAACGCTGACTATGATCACCATGATGTAAAAATACAAGGTGTAGCGTTCCGAGGTCTCATTTTCATGCCATTCTGCGCCTTTCATTGCGACGCCATATTTGAGGGAGACGTGACTACTACAGCGCCGAAGTGCCAGTACAGTGAAATACAGTGGCTAAAGTTAAAACGAAAACCTATCCCCCCATCCACCTCGACGTGAGACATATATATAGATATAGACATACGTATGAACAAACATGTAAGTCAATTGATGAATGATTACCTATTTAGTCAATTTTTTCTGTGTTAATATTCACGAATTGTACGTTTGGTCACGGAAACAACTGGAATTAAAAGATTGAAGTGAGAAATATTTATTGCTTCACGAGTTTCTTGATGTTGATGTACCACGTATTTTAAAAGCTTTTGAAATTCGCAGACAGACATGGCAGCGTGATATAAGCGTTCATGATAGGTCAATCAAAATAGATGCGCAACGCCACACCTTGTATTTTTACATCATAGCCTGGACAGTTTTAAATGTAGAGTTTATCACACCATCAGACGGTGTAATGAGTTTAACCGCAGGCTATGATCAGGGCCTTACCAGGGTATATGTATACACACACGTATAATAACCCATGCATTTATACTGTACACTTAGAGTATATATATGCTCTAAGATGCCAAGCTTGGGCCCAGTTTTCGCCCATTTTCAATTTCCACTTGGGTCGGCGCCGTAAGCGGCGAGTGCAAGACGTTCAAGCGAGCGCAAGGCTCCATGGGCAGAGAAGTGCGTTCGTTTTGGAAGTTTGTATATGGTTCCACTCTATTTCCATCTCTCGACAAAACAACAAGTCTGATGCGATAAGATGTCATTCTATAATCAGACTATGGACATAAATTATTTTTAATGTTATTTAAAAAAATTTTCAACTAATTTTTTTTTTTTTTACAACTGATTTTTACCACGAATACTTTTTTTTTTTTTTTTAACTTTAGTACGAAATTTATTATATTTTTTAATTTTACATAATTGTAAAATGAAAAAGTTCAATGGAAACGCAGCGTACTAGTTTTATAATACTTTTATAAAAACTTGTATATTATTGTACAAAAGTGACATAAGGGTATCAAACGCGGAAAGTTTCATATTTTTTAAAGTATACTAATGTGTATGCACTATGCACGTCCGCACACAACGTTATAGTCATACTTATTTAACGTTTTCTCTCCCTCCTATGATCTCAGAAGAGTAGTAAAATCATAGAGATATTATAAGATAGAGTAGGGAAGCCATAGGGTTTGACGCAAGTGAAACTGTCCCCTAGAGATAAAAGAGATAAAAAATTTTGGTACCTATTCATCTCTCTTTGCCCTCGTCGCTGATTGGTTGTAGTTTCAAATGGTTTTAAATATACCTATATCTTTACTCACGCTCCCATTCTAAGGAACCAATCAGGGAATAGGACAGAGAGAGAGATGCACAGGTACCAAAATCTTTTCTCTCTCTCTACTACAGCAGACACTGTTCCGTTCAGTTTCCCTACTCTATCTTATAATATCTCTACGCGTAAAACAGGGATAGCGACGATAGCGTCAACCCGCCCGAGATTGCGCAGTATGCCTTCGGGATTTCAGGACCCGAGCATGCGCACTTTGCAGCGGCTACTTCAAATCTCCAAAACTACGCTATATGCCCAATTCTACAAAAATCTAAGAACGTTAACCCAATAACCCAGTAACCCTTTATCACCACTAGGGCCTTTCCGAAATTATTTAAACACAAGCAATCAATCACCAATGGTTTCAAATTCACTAAAAAATACCACAAGCGCCAATCACCACACAACCCGGGGCGCTTACCGATCGCTTTATCCATTAATAAAAAACTTAAATTATTACCGCAAGCGTCAATCACCACACAACCCATGGCGCTTACTGGACGCTTTATTTCATAATAGAAAAAATAATCAATCACCAATGACCCACTGGGCCTCTCTTTAAGTACTGGGGCGCTTTAAAAATTATTTAAACGCAAGCAATCAATCACCAATGACCCACTGGGCCTCTCTCTAAGTACTGGGGCACTTTAAAAATTGTTTAAACGCAAGCAATCAATCACCAATGACCCACTGGGCCCTTTGTTCTGCTACTTAAATAAAATTGTATTCGTATCGCATTGAAATATTAAGTAAAAAAGCATGTTGAATACTTACCAGAACTACCTGAAATTTTTTTTTTTTTAAATAATTATTGGACTACTGCTTTGCATTAAGTAGACAACTGATATTTAAACATTCTCTTTATTTCAACGTATAAAATTACATATGTGTTTGGAATAATGTGTTACATGTTAATTATCAACTTTTGCAGTCACAAATATTTTAAAGTCGGTTGGAAAAATCTGTTCATGCTTTGAATACAAAAAAATTGAATGAATTAGAATAACAAGAAAAAAATTTTGGACTCGTTTGTACAGTTAAGGCAAAAGTACTAGTTACTGGCCACTTAGTAGCTGTTATCAAAAGAACATCATATATTTTAAACAGCTTTTAAAATTTTAACTTCTGTTAGGTACCATTTAAAAGCTATGAATGTATTTTAAACTATCCCTCCTGACAAATCTCACCTGAGATCTCATCTTATGTCTCATGTGATTTCTCACCTGAGATCTCATGCCAAATTCTCATCTGAGATCTCTGGTAAGATTTTGGAAAGAAAAATGAATAAAAAAATTTTGTGCAACAATTATAATTTATACATCAATAGAATCATTACCTAAAATATCAACAGTAATAGGAAAAAAAAAAAATTCGGCTTACATGGCTTACGAACTCGAGCCCCCAGTTTCACAGGCAAGAATCTTACCGCTTGGCCAGAGAGGGTGAGATGCCAGTCCAACAATTTACGTCTATATAAAGTGTAAGTACCATGTGTTATTGTTTTTCTTATTCACAACTGAATCATACAATTATTAATAGATATAATTTTTCCCAATCTTAATTCCGATAGTTAACCAACTAGATAATATTCAGGAACATTATTTTCTACACAAAAAATATTTTTTTCTCTTTTA